CTTACCAGACTAATGTTTTCTAATGTCATGAAAGGATATTGTAATTATCAAATACAAGTTCACTTGCAATGCTTTGGAAGAGACACATAAATCACGAAGAAATACTTTCCGTTTAGCCTGTTAAATTATCCCATTTGCATTGGTCATTTAGAGTTTAGGAGACGCAAAATAGCTAGATAAACGCCGACACCAACCGGTTTGTCACCAACTACATTGATTGCTTGATTAATTGATTGAATAGCAATTATTGCTCTAAATGTGATACTCTAACTTGCGTAAATCTGTTGTTGGTTTATATGAATTCTAAACAAACTGGTTTAGCGAACAGTTTTTGTATCGCTTTGTTAATTTTTAATATGGGGCCACAATATACAGTTAAATTATAACAGGCATTATACAATATACATTGTATATACCGGTATTTCCTTAAATTATTAAAGTCAGTGTACAATGTAGCAGTTTTGTAAATTCACATGGGGTAAAAAAGTTAGATTGTGTTGCCATGTATCTTAATACTGTATGATGTTGATAATATTGGCATGCATACTTGATGCCGTTGATATGTAAAACGCATTATGTTATGATATCAAAATGATAGAACATGTGATAATAGAAACACCTACCTCCATGAATAATTGATCTATGTTTCATATCGTGATGTGTTATTAGCAGATCACAGGTCTTGCATGCTATATGGAACTGGCATAAGACTGAGTTTGTTGTTTAAATCAGACATTGTACCGGTTTCAGAAAAAGGATTTAAAGCTTTTTTGTTGTGGTTCTTTTAAATCACCCACTGTATTCTAATAAAGCGAGTTCTCTAAGTATATGAAATACGAAATGTCGACTCTGTTCTGTGAAAATTTATAAGGTATCTGTGAGAAATATCGAATGCCATATATTTCACTTGTAATTAACTCTTTTTTCTCTCATAACGATACATTGAATCAAGTCGAACATTTGAATGAAATATATCATCATTATTTTTTGTTCAACTTAACTAATATTCTCTTAATAATTCAAGCGAAATAAAATACAGTAAGAATTTTATGATGGCTGAACAAATGTTCTTTTGATGGATGACTTCAAATGTCATAAGTAATTTTTAAAGCAAAGATTGTCACCTTAATATATTGTCTGATTCCCTGCCAGATTGCCTGATAGTTACCTCTCATATTAATGTTACTGATTGAAAAAGAGCTTAAAAGGTGTCGAGGTATTCAAAGTTATTTATCTTTTCAATATATCAACGATTGACACTTTTGAAAGTACAAAGTATAAAAGTACATATTAAAGATGCCTCACTCAGTATTTGTCATAATTTTAGCTGTCATATATGGTTTTATTACCCTTCCAGATTTTACTACTTTTTGATTGGATATTGGTAACCCGAAATAAATTGATATTACCGAGCCAGACGGGTAATATACACAATAAGTTCCCCCGTTGGGTACCCCACGTTGTAATACAACATGCGCTATGGCGATGCGAGTACGGTTTGATTTTACGCGATGTAAATTCCGATTTACAGGCACTTTTTAACTGTCAAATGATAAATATTTACCAAAATAGAGATATGATGCATATTCTCATCAGTATTGAAACTTATGAAAATATTTATGATAATATTAATTCCAAAAAAGTGTGCTCAACGGACTACTCCTTTTCTCTTCATTAGGTTCGAAAGAAAATACGTCATGTATTTATGTGACGTCATGCGAAGGGGGCCTTAACGTTTCATTTGAAGTAGCAATGATTCGTATTAAAATCATGTTAACTTGGCAGGGGAAGGGAAATAAAATTATTATTTTGGTTTTTGAGTGATATATGTGGATATATTACATGTACCTGCCAAGATAAAATATCACCAAAGCCGTTAAAAAATATTGACAGGTAATATGTCCACATTTATCACTCGCAAAACCAAAATTAATATGATATACATATATAACCGTGTTATCTTCTTCTTGTGAGAAGTTAATACAAAAACAGAAGCTGACTATGATAGTACATTTTTTAAACGAGATTTACGACAGAGGCAACGCGCTCCTGTTCGAATAAATTAGAATTAAGACAAAATATCAAGAGAAGTAGAATTAAAAACAGAGGAAAAAAAACAGAAAAAAAAACGAAGGATGCAAGTTCTGGCATCGTTTCAATGTAAAAGGGAACATAAATTTCTCGTGTGACATTACAAAACATCAGGCGTTAAAAAATGACCAAAGAACAGTGACGGAATTCTAGTTAAGAGCATAGCAACAACATACGTTTTTTTTTAAATTTAAGGAATGGTTCAGCCGAAATTTATAAAAAGGACAAAACTTAATTTAAGTTATGATAACAAATATATAAAGAATGCCTGAGATCCAGTATTATTAAGACTAGTTCTTTAAGATAAAATATTTAGACAATAAAATCTCATTTAAATATACTTAGTTGCTAATAATGTTACACTTACACACATTAGAAGCCAACGATTTGAGTAAGTACGACGATAACACGGTTCATACGAAAACAGAATGGAATTTAAAGTTACAGAAACATGTTTGAAAAGTAAAAAAAGGACTCCACTGAGGTTTGTTGACATGACGGAACTGGAATTTATTTTATACTAGTGTTCATTTCCCAGTTTTCCCACTGGGTTTATGCTAGTAAGATCAATATTTGAGAGTTTAAAATGAGAACTGCCTTTAGCGCTAAAACACATATATTATCTTATTTTTTATCATCGACTACGATAATTTCCGTTAAAAGGAAATGTCTCCAGCGTAAATGTTACCACGATAGAGAAGGAATTAAGCCACAGTTCTCTACAGAGTCAGTCAATGTATTCATGACAGAAAACGCGTGTGTGACTGGATTATGTCGGAGGCGTCGTTCTGTGAACGTTGCCTTGACCCCTTGTTCTTTTGATCTCTTTTTTTTTATCTTTCTTCTTTAGTAAACGCAAAGCGCAAAGAAACAATACAACAGTAATATAATAAATCAGTAAGATTATAGAGATATATGTTTTATCATCTGTAAACAAACACAATATATTGCAATAAGTTTTATCATAATTATAAACCATGGTGACGGAGTGTTATAACCCAATTTAATCAAAACGATAAATTACACTATTGACGTGACGTCATTTCCGTTATACATAGAGTAAAGCGAGTTAATGTTCGCGTTACACTAAAGGCGCGTCAACGGAAAAAGACTTTTTTAACTATACACCGTTCTTATTTTAGATGTGTGATATATTTAATAAAGTATTCGTGTAAATTCATTACTAAATATATTGAACACGTTGAAGAAAAAAACAACAATTTTATGCTCATCGGAGACTCGCATAATATGATTTTATTCAACTTGTTCAATAAATTTAGTATTAAATCTACACTCAATATCTTTTATATCTATGATTAAGAAAACAAAAACAAGGTATCAATATTAAATATCCTAAGTATCGGTTTTTTGGCATTACATAAGATTACGTCTGTACACGGCTATTTGATATAAAATAACATATTATTATGTTTGTCTTCAATACGTATATCATTTAATTTACCCTATACTTTTCATGCTCATTTGGGGGTTAACGGGTAATCTTTATCAAATTAACACTTTCAGTACACGACCAGGCAAGATTGGCAATGTTCCATTACCACCACCATGATGACTAGTATTTCCTCTGACTGAATATAATTTGATAAAGGAATACGTTAACAAATGATCATGGAATTAAGGTAAATAATGTATGTCTAGGAGAAAATATTCCTCGTGTCTTTCAATGAATGTTATAGAGTAAGGATTCCAAATTGTGACATGGAAATATAAAGTAGCAACGGAGCAAATTAGTTTTAAAGATCCTGTATGTTTTGTGACTGATATTGTTACTGTATGAATACCACACTTGCAAAATATTATATAGCATATAATTATGCAAATTAAACAATTTTCGAACATCGAAGAATATGTAAAATGTGTACTGCAAATATTTGTGCACATTATGTTGAATCAATTAATTACATGCATTATTTTCTTATTGGAAAATTTGACCTAGAATTTATAGAAAATAAATTTCTAATTAACTCCCTTTATTTACATGAAATGTTAAATTGGGTAATATCTTTATAAATAATGCTTATTGGAACTTAACAATATTGACAAATCTTAATTTGAGCATCATATTTATGAAATAAAACCATGAAAAAATTGTGTTACAGGATCTTTAAGGAAATAAATAACTGTAATTTAAAAGAAAAGAGCATGGCAAAGATGACTGTTGTTTATACAGTTATAAAAATATGAACTGATTTAGTGTAAAGATTGCAACGGATTGTCTTGACGGTGTTAAAAGGAAACGCGACCCCCATGCCGGCACTAGGTTTGAATATTAAATGCCGGTCAAGTACAATGTACTTTTATATCATTACTCCTCCTGGGTCAAAATTAATGTTTGTCGTACTGTTTTACACAGCTGGCGTAAACTGTTGAATGTCTTCTGTAAATAGTTTCTTTGAGATGCAAAATTTAAATGGATAAAATAGAATGCAATTGTCTAGGCATGCACTATTTCGCACTTATTCTATTTTTTACTCTCTTAAATATCTATAATATGGTGGCTGACTTGTGTCATGTCGTATTTTCGGTTCATTTGGCGCCAAGTGACGACTTTGTGGTACTTTTGCTCCGCAGGGCGCAAGGCGAAAATACAATAATACGACAAAGTGGTGACTTTGTGTATTTTCATGTTTTCGTCTAGCGCCCCGAGGACCAAAAATAACACAAAGTAGTGGTTTTGTCCTTATTTCGCTAAAGCTAAAGTACGTCAACATGTTGGCTGTTCGTGTTTTCTTCTAGCGCCCCCGTAGAGGGAAAATGACACAAATCAGCCGCCATACCTCAACAAACTGTAAGGAAAAGCAATATCATAGATATGAAACAAGTGAAAACGGAATACTTGTAGAAGCATATATTCCTTACGATTAATTATCTTTCTTTTTATTTTCCAGAAATTCCCGTCGTCTACATTGCCCTTGCTGTTTGTATAACTATTACCTTAATCAGTGCAGTAGTCGGCTACATCAGCTGGATTTTATGCCGCCGGCGACAAAAACCAACCGTTGCATGGAAGAAAACATATAAAGATAGTGATAGTTCCCCTGAATCAATACTTGACAGAAACCTGAAAATTAGCCAAAGCACTCCGGAATTAGCGACAGAATGTGGCGATGCAGAAACACAGAAGTCAAGATATTTAAAAGCAAAGCTGTTTTTCAAATCGTTGCGACAGTCAACCATGCCAACAGTATCTCAGAGACACCAGTTATTTCATCGACAGCTTTCACATCAAATTGATCTCTCTAAAATTGAATTCTCTGTGCAAAGTGCAAAACATTCGGAGCAGCCGAATCTTGGCGTTATTAAACCAGAGCTGTATAAACAAGCGTCTATTGAGAGCGTGCGTTCGGAACACGCTGTATGTGGACAGCTGCGTTATAGCCTACAATACGATTACGAACTAGAACAACTTCACGTAGGCGTCATTCAAGCAGATAATTTGCCGCCAAAAGATTTTTCGGGAACTTCGGATCCTTACGTTAAAACATATCTTCTACCAGACCGTAGACAAAAGTTTCAGTCAAAAGTTCATAGAAAAACGCTTAATCCAGAGTTTCATGAGAAATATATTTTTAGCGTTCCATTTGCGGAGCTTGGTGATAGAGTGCTGCAATTTAATATTTATGATTTTGACCGTTTTTCTCGACACGACTTGATTGGAACAGTGACAATTCCAGATTGTGTGCCTGAGGGTTGTCGTATGACGACAGAAACATTCTTTGTTCGCGATATCCTATCATCATATCAGGTAAGCAGACAATATAACATACATTACGGATTGGTAACCAAAGATTTTTTAGCGGAAACTAAATAAGCACTCGTACAGGAAATACCATGTATATTATAAATGTACTTTAAGTTAATTGAAACTTTATGTTGCTATTGATGCAATTAATTTGACATGCCCCATTATATTAATCAATATGGTGAAAAAAATTCATTCTAACAATATTGTTCAGTTCATTGTGTTCAAAATAGTGGTTGACAATACATACTATATATGCTGGACAAAGCAAATGCGGCTCAACCTTGATGAAAAATTAACAAATGAATACAAGCATGTAGTGTAAATATATTTAATTCCTTATATCCAAAAGAAATTTCATTAATGTCCAATAAGATTTAATAAAACAACAAATGGTGTTAACATGACATCACATAATCCCTAAAATATCATGGTTTGAATTTGGCAAGTATGCTAGATATATAATGGTTATCGAGTCAATTATCATGGAGTGCATCTCTGTTGGTGAAGTGACATAACACAAAACAAATACGATTTACACGTTTAGAAATATTTAAAGTTGTTTATTTTACATTTTTGGATTCATTGCAATGTTTCTGGAGAAAATGCCGATTTCGCCTTTGTTGTGACATTTAATTTCGAGATTGCCTTGTTAGGTCCAGCTGAATTGCTTTAAATCGGGTTAAAATTAATGAAATTTCTCATAGATATTTGTTTTACTTGTACTTTAAAGTATAACCGCAATATTGAAGCTAGGCAGTGGAAAGATTATAAGTTTTGTTCCGTGTTTTGCTTTAATCGTATAGGTTTACAGAATGTTGATGATTTCGTTTGATGCATTAGCAAAACCCGATTGTGCTCCAGGAATCTTTTCTAATGCCGAAGAAATGCATCATTATAACTCAACGACATTCAATTTCCACCCACCTCTCTGAGAATTGCATTAAATATTTACAATAACAGTTTACTTAAGGAGGAATTCTTAAGAAAAGAAATTGATTCGTTTGATTTCTAAAAAGATATTTCCTCTATTGTAGGAGAAATTTGATCTTGGCGAACTGATGATCACTCTGTGTTATTTACCGACGGCGGGCCGTCTAACGCTCACGGTGGTCAAAGCCCGGAATCTCAAAGCCATGGATATAACCGGCTCGTCAGGTATAAACATTTTAGATACAATTGTTCATTGATCACTCCTCGGCAAATAGTAACAAAGCACTATGTCCAAACTTATACTACAGTAAATTGTTAAAAAAAAACTTTAAGCGCAAATTAAAACCTACATTTATAAAGCAGGGTTTGGTTTGTGGTTTGATAGAAGAAACCTATAACACTTCCGTTTTCTTTATCAAAATGTTGTAACTCGATTTTTGTGTATCCTTTCAATTTTTATCTTTAATGTTGGGTACACAAGCTGTATGAACTAAAATTGGGAATATGGTATTAGTCAAATGCATACAATGAATTAAAAAGTACGAAACAGATTTGTTGTTTTAGCAATAGCTGAATCGCCTTTCAAAACATCGATTTTTTTATCATATATGGTTAAATTGTTACAGATCCCTTCGTTAAAGTGACACTTGTATGTCAGAACAAGAGGATTAAAAAGAAGAAGACATCAGTTAAGAGGAACACACTGAATCCTGTATACAATGAGGCGATGGTGTTCGATGTACCACAAGAAAACGTAGATGATGTAGAGCTTGTTATCAAAATCATTGATTATGACAGGTAAAATGTCAATGACATTAAAGAAGGTAGTGTCACTTATACGTTAGGGATGTTGCTTCAAAACATGTAAAAACCTTTACCAATAACTTCAACAAACGCTACATTATCATCTTTTCACACACACACATACACACACGGACAAAAACAACTACAGCAAATCTAAAATGTCATTCGGAACTTCCAAAAAACACTAATGTGTCTTGAAATTAATGATCACAATAACTAACAAAACAACTTATAAACCTCTTTGTTTACACTTCCTCTGCCTGCCAATCCTTTCTGAGCTTAATGAAGCTTTATCTTAATCAAATAAGACATCGGAAAGCATTTTCGATTAATTAAGAACCAGTAGAATCTTTTACTGTAGAAATACCGTAAATGTAATTACATAATTGCTTAAATGGTTTATTTTTGTCTTGCAGATGCCTACATTTAAATGAACTTAAATTCAAAAGTTATTGCAATATGCCAAAATGACATTTTTTGTTTCTTTTAAATGACTGAAACTATAGCTTCTGGTATTTCAGGTTTTACAAAATGAATTATTTTTCCTTCTCTCTATTATTTCTGAAGCTGAAGGTGTAATTTTCCTCAACCAAGACATAAAACATGAGCATTTATTTAAAGTTAGTGATTTTCGTATTTTGCAGGATTGGTCGGAATGAGATTATGGGATGTTGTGCAGTAGGTCCGCGTTATGTGGGCGTCGGGCGTGACCATTGGTTTGAAATGCTTGAAAATGCAAGAAAACCAGTGGCTCAGTGGTATACATTACAGGAGCATGTACAATATACGGATTATAAAAGTGGTGGCGGTAAAGGTTGTTTCCGGTACAGACAGGCAACAACAGATTCCACGTGTAGCGAGGACACTCAATGAGTGCCAACATTAAATCTATGAATCTCATTTGTTATCACCTTGACAACCATTTGCAGCATACATTTTGGAATTCAAATCATAAATACATATATTTCATGACATGGAGTATACGATAGGATTCCAAATGAATCATAATTACATGTACTGTGTAGTTGTTTATATACCGAGTGAAAGATAAACTGTATGTTATTTAATTATATATTTCAAACAGAACATAAATTCACATTAAGGCTCGGATTAGCAAGACGTATTTTTATTACGTTAAGTTGTTAAAACATTTTAAAAGCTTTTTTCGACTCTAGCCACCACATATTTACAATCAAAATTAACAAAATTACTAATTCCAATTTTGAATATTATAGGTTCAAACAAGAGGGAAAAACGTGCATTTTTTGTCCGTATAAATGTTGGTTAGAGAGAATAGGGTATAGATGTAAGTTATTTATTTTTCTATGGTTTTCCACATATTGATATATTGTGGATTTTATTTATATTTAATCATAACTTTTCCCAAGAGCGTATACTTTACATTTCATTTTAAGTGTTGTATATTTATTTTCCTAAAATACATGCAAGTATATGATTTTGAAGAACGAATGATTCTAACTGTTTGATATATGATATTTCCACTTGCTTTTAACTAAAAAAGAACCTTTTAGGAAATTTGTAATTCATAATGCGCATATTTTCATCGTTTCTGGAATTATATGTACAATAAAAAGAGAAATGCCTAAAATATCAAAATAACATAAAAGGATTTAGATCACATACATCTTGGCAGGTAAGTAAAAATGCGTTAAAATATGAATGGAAACGATTTAAGGAGAATTAAATATTTTAAGACAAATATATTTCACAAAGTGCACGTTCCGATAGACCGAAATGATAAAAAACGTATTTTATACATTTATTATACATCTAGGCAAATGTATGTTATGAATAGCACGTTCTACAGAATTTAGATTAAAAACTACGTAGACGATACTGACGTACAATACCTACATTCCTTCATATATTCCAATCTAAATAAGGAACGAGATCAGACACGTCACTGTCATGCGACATTTTCTAATGAAGCTTTCTATGTAGATGTTCTAAAAGGTTTTGTGACATAATAAAATGTGCTAGTACAGTATCTCATAAAAAGACAATTGACATATTGTCATTAATGATATGCACTTTTATTGGACATCAACGCTTTGATAAGCTGGTATTTCTTTATCGTCGGAACCCACCATGTACAGCAATTGATAAGTAAATAGCCAGGGCTACCGAGGATTGTATTTCTTTAACAAGTGTTAGCATTTCCAAAAATGCTAGGAATCGCCGTTCAGCCATGATTGTATGTGGGCAACACATAAAGCAAACAAAAATACTTGGTTAACTAAGTCAAATTATATTGACGTGCTAAGCTAGATTTTGAAATATTTTTGTTCTTTTAGGTATTGTCCATATGAATAATATCACAATAACTTAACACGTTTTAGAATTAATTTGACTACATGCGCTACTTAATTAGTGCAGCAAAAATAATTAGCTACTTGCGTAATTAACAACAGTTACTTGGCTACACAAAAATTGATTTCTGTAAATGGTTGGTTCATACATTCTTTAACTGGACTTTAAGTTCTATACTCCGTCGACGGCTTTGCTTTGAAACTTGCTAAATAATAGGTTTGATGCAATAAAAACAATTAAACTCGCCCGGAAGAAAGCATTTATTAGGGTTTTTTTTCCTTTAGTGCAAGTTTCGGAAAGAAAACAAAATATACTCTTATTTAGACTGAATTTTCTAATCATAATTGACATGTAGCAAAAAATATTGCAATTTGCTGTGTCTTTCCTACCTACAAGAGCCCTAAAACCGTACTGAGTTCGTATATTGATAATGGTATTTTTCAGTTGTACGAATAAGTAACCCGACAAATATGGCGGTTTGGCGTGTACATTCACGCATCGCTCGTTATAGTTATTTTACATATTTTTTATCATGTGATATTAAATTATTCGCTTTTATTGGCTATCTAAAGGCAGGCGGTGTACAGGTAGAACTGTTGAAATCTTGTTAATTGTATATATCACCGTCCAGGAACGGCGATAATTACTGACAACTTTAACAAAAAGCTCTCCCGTTAACTGTTACTTCGTTTACGTAAGATTTTAATCAATGTGACATGCATTGTATATATATCATAAAGAAAATTGTTTTACGGTGGTGCAATATATATTTTTCTAACAAAACTACATTATTTCTGCTTTTCATACTTTCATATTTTTCTGTCGACAATCACGATTAATATGTTCATGCGTTAAACAGCGACGCGAACAATTGCCATTCCTTTTACCCTATGAATTTGAGAAGCACTAAAAAGATATTGTGTTGTTTCGATGTCTGTTTCATTACTGTTTGTCTTAATCTTTTAAAGTAACACAATGTTAACTTTTGTCATGGATATTTATATGTTTCTAAAAAGGAATTTAGTATGAATATAATAAAAGTTATAAAAGTGGTGTGTTTGTTTTAATTGCGATATTTGGTCATAGACTTGCTAATAATACATTTTTTTTATCTAATTGAATTTCATCTTAATTCACTAGCTCATTACTTATTATTAACGAACCAACTTCCATCTGTGTCAAGTGTTCATTCTGTATGTGCTTTACAGGTTTATAGAGAATAACAGGTTACTGTCTTTTGAGAAAGGGTTTCTCAGACAAGGTTAGATATGATCCTGGAAGGGGCGAGGCTTGCCGAGCCCCTTCCTGACCATATCTAGCCAAGTCTGAGAAATCCCTTTCTCAAAAGACAGTAACCTGTTATTCTTTTTATCATGCCTCTATTATGATTTTGCATCTTATAATTTTAATTCGGGGCACTAATTTCTGAAAGTACGGTAACCATAAGAGGGTTATACGCCAAAAAAATAGTCCGAGGGATTTTACTAATAATTAATAACACAACACAATTTTTGGTACAATTTGCTTTAACAATTTATTTACTGTGTTACTATGAATTATCATAAATATTCAGCAAAGTCAATTAAACAATATCAACAATAAACATTTTCAGGGCTGATCTGGCGTAGGAACATAGTGTTCTCAAGTCACTGGCTGAGAAAGGTTGCTGTTCTCAGACAGACTTTATCAGCCAGTTGTCATAGTAATGGCATGATAAAATTTGTCGTAATCACTTAAATTTAGACATACATGTGTATAACAAAATTGCTTTTACCTAGTTTGATACCAAACATCTTGAACAAAATATTGATGTATATTTAAAAGCGGCTTTTTCAAAAAACATTTCAAATTATTCATATTCATAATATCAACTACAGTTCAAATTTGATTTTTAAGAAATATTTTGAAATAAAAGGAACTTTATTATGATAATACATAACTTTATTTTCATTAATACTATACTTTAATATCATGCGACTATAACAAGCCTCCGTGGAACGAAGATAATATTGCGTAACGGTATTTATTTAATTTTAAATTTTTAAAGGCGTCAACGTTAACGTCTTGGTTTAGAGAGGATGCCATATAATGAGAGTATCCTGTTTTGGAAAACACTTACAAACAAAGGAAAACAACAACAAAAGCATTACACAACATACTTATATTTTTGTACATTTAGATTTATAAGATTTATAAACATAATCATTTTCTTATAATACTTATTCCTGGTGAAGTTCGTTCGCTTGTTTAAGCAACCATCGATAATATTTCTAGACTTTTATCTCCTAAAGCTATGTTGTGATATCGCACAAAGTAAAAACAAGTTCAGTTGTCAGCTTTGGGACAGACACATAAATCTCGAAACCGTTCTTTCCCTTTAGACTGTTACATCATCTCATTTCCTTTGATCAGAAATAAATAGCTTGATGAATGTCATGACTAACTGTTTTGAGTTCATTTGAGATGAACAAGATTCATGTTGATGGTCTTCACAATTGAGAAGTTGTATATCTACTTCGTCACCTTAGTGCAGTAATGTGTTAATTCCTATTAAAATTCAATAGGAGTTAATCCATTTCTGCACTTCGAAGACGATTTTTAGGAGACAGATTGTTCAAGTAGTTGAGTATACATATCCATTTGTTACTTTGAGTAATGTTAATATGCTTGATTGCTTTATAGTTGTGATAATGCTATATATATCACTATTTTAAAACACTGTTTTGGTTAATGCAAAGCGGATTACGTTTTTTAATCAAATGTGAAATAAAGTAAGAAGGTAAGTTTTCCTTGCAAATTCGGATATTAAAATATACAGTATATACTTTATAAAAGAAACGCATACTGCCATGAATAAGTGATCAATGTCAAATTTAGTGGTGTGTTGGTAATAAACAGATATTCCATGTAAATTTTTAGCTGACATTTAACTGTGATGTATTGTTTTTAAATTATACATTAAATGAATGTTTGAAATTTAAGACAATAATTTTAAGCAAGACTGTTGAAATCTAATCGTTCAGGAATGGACAGGTTGAATCTCTCTTGGTAAAATATTTAATTACAAAACAAAAATTCTCAAAATTGCCAAAGTTATGAATATTAACGCATTTCTAGCTTGTTTGGTAACAAAGTTTAGATTATATGGGGCCGAAACAAAAGATAAATTTACGCAATTTTAGTTTAAATGTGTATTGTGTGAGTCTACAATATTTGTCTGATGTTTCACCAAAAATAAATGCCAACGATATAAACCAATATTCAGCTCTGCAAAACAATTATTCCCTGTATTCAACTTAGCGAGTAAACGAAATACAGTTACGATTGTACATAAAATTTCCATAGAATTGCTTTGCAGTTACCCAGTAAGCAGAAAATACTGGATGTAATCAAACTAAAAAGGTGTCAATATTTTCATAACTATCGATCTTTTCCATCAGTTAACGATCAGTTTTATAGTTCAAATAAAAGAAACGTCAAACATTTGCTTTGGCAACTATAAAAGTGGCATTCGAGAAGATAGTGATAGTTGTTTTCAGGTTGTCCACAATGGCAGAGGGGAGACTGGACTATATTACGAGTGAAAAGGTGATGATTTAGTTTGCTACAATTCATGCGAAGCCTAGCATGTAAGACCTGTGCCATTCGTGATCTGCTGTAAAAATAAGCGGGCGTACTTTCACGGACTGGCATAACTTTACTTTTTAAAACTTTTTAAGTGGGTGAATTTCTTACATCTGTTAATAGGTTATTCCAATCGCGAACTGTCGTGGGTAAGAAAGACTTGTAATATTGGTTAGTTCGGGAATGTACAGGTCTCAACTGATCTGGGTTTCGAAGGTTGTACGAAGACGATGATCCAATATTTGGGGGAACGAGATTTGTTAGATATTCTGGTGCAAGACCATTTATCATCTTATAGAACATTATAAGCCTTTGAACGCGTCGTCTCTCTTTTAGGGATGACCAATTTACTTCCTGTTGAATTTTATCGAGAGAGACCAGTTTGGTTGCTCCCGATACAATACGAGCACATTCGTTTTGGAACTTGTCAAACATATCCTTTTCAGCCATAGAGCAATTATTCCATATAACATCAGCATATTCTAGAATTGGTCGGATGAAAGAGGTGTATATTACTTCGAGAGATTTCCTATCAAGAGTAAATTTCAGTCTACGCATAATGTGAACCCGTTTCCATGCTTTATTTACTATATACTTAATGTGTTCATGCCAAGAGCGAGCAGTCATTTGAAGATGTTTGTGATGTTCTACTTCCGGTATAATTTGCCCATGCATGTTTAGAGATGGGTGGTTTTGCTGATGCATTTTTCGACTTAGCAATAGACATTCGGACTTTGCAGGATTAAAGTTAACTAACCACGTATCGGCCCATTCTCTTATTTTTAGGATATCATGCCTTCTTACAAAAGTGCGTCAAATCACTCAAAATGTCTCTCTTCATACTCTCCTGTTTGGGGATGTTTCTCTTTATCAATCAGACAATACGGAGTTATTTCTGGCCGTCCAAAAATACATAATGGATAGTGGGAGGTTTGCATGACGAGTAAATGTTGCAAAGTACTGTCTACGACTTAACAATTACACTGGTAAACACTTAAAAATAAATCATAGTCTTTATACTGTCCTGTGCAAAAAATCATTTGTCTCTTCATCTCTAAAAGTTGGTTTCCATCTTAATATTCTCTCTTCTTTTTCTCTTTCTTTATTTTTTTTCCTATTAATATATTATATTAAAATATCTATCAATTACAAATAATGCAAGAGCCTTACTACATAACCTAGTTTTGTGTATTTTTTTTTTTTCAAAAATATTTTGTATACAATCAATAGAAGCGGCTGAGGTACACATTTTATATGCCCTTTACTTGCTCATAGATCTACCAGCCATGTATTAGTTTTGTTGTAATTTATCAATAATGGAGATTGACTTTAATAAGCACCTAGTGCTTCCGTCAAAATCCTTTGCGTGTATTATGTTAGTATGGTTATGAAACTGAATTTATGTATAATGTATGTTTAAAATATATGCAATAAATATGTTTAAACCAAACATTTACTTTAATAACTGTAAAAGCTGCAGATGTTTCCTCACTCTCACACTATACATAATTTTCTCTCCTAACTGTGAGAAGTGAGAAGTTGAAACAAAACAAGTTTGTGCATTTTGCACTAAATTTACGTTTGAGAAAGTGCGCTATTATTCTAATAAATTTTAACTAAGATAAAATAGCAAAGTCATGGAAAATTGGGGGGAAATACATTTCTTCACAGGCAAGGATAAAATTACAAATTATGCCAACAAAAGCGTTAGAATTGTAACAGAAAAGAAAACAGAACAATCGCATTTGAAATGATTTGGAGAAAGTTATAGAAACGATTGATAAAAGCCTGGAAACAAAGTGATCCCTCGGAAGCATTAATCACAACAAAATTACATAAGAATTGCAAACTCGGTTTGATTGAGTCTGTACATGTGGGATAATGAATATGTGCAACATCCCTCACGCCCCTAGCACCGGCTTGAGCGGTACTCAATTCTCAACACTTAATAGTGATAAGCCACATCAAACTAATTTTGAAATAAACAGAGTGATATAATTATGTAATTAAATGATTTAAAATAATCATGAAGAGAAACAAAATTTTAGCGTCATGTTGTCAAAAACATTTTGATAAAAATGTTAGGATTAAAACTGTTAATATTACAAATAATTCCGTCATGAAACTTCTTTCAATGGTATTTCAATTAAAGTTTAAGTACACTGATGACATAAGTAATATGAAAATACAAGTGTATTTATTGCTATAGAACCATTTAAATAAAAAGTGAAAAATATGCAAAATAACTGGACCTAGAATAAATTGTTAACAAGAGGGCCATGATGGCCCTGGGGTCGCTCACCTGTACATAGGCCCCCAGGGCGGGGCCAGTTTAAACCAAAGGGCTTTTATTTGAACAAACTTGGAAGACACCCATTAGAAGATGTTTCATGATGTTAAGTTTTTACTATACACAAATAATGAAAAACAATGACTTTTGCCCCCCTCCCCCTGGCAGGGCTAATTTTACCCCAGGGGCTTTTATTTGAACAAACTTGGTAGACACCTATAAGAACATGTTTCATGCTAAATATCTTAGCTTAGCTCTTTGGGTTCTTTAAAAGAAGATTTTTAAGTTTTTAATTACTATATGCAATATAGGGAAAATCAATGACCCCCTAGGGCGGGGCCAATTTTGACCCAAGGGCTTTTATTTGAACACACTTGGTAAACATCCATTAGAACATGTTTCATGCTAAATATCTTAGCTCCAGCTCTTTGGGTTCTTTAATAGAAGATTTTTAACTTTTTACTCTATGTATATAGGGAAAATCAATGACCCCTGGGGCGGGGCCAATTTTGACCCCAGGGTAATTGGTAGACACCCATTAGAAGATGTGTCATGCTAAATATCTTAGCTCTAGCTCTTTGGGTTCTTTAAAAGAAGATTTTTAAGTTTTTACTACATGTATATAGGAAAAATCAATGACCCCTGGGGCTGGGCCAATTTTGACCCCAGGGCTTTTATTTGAACAATCTTGGTAGACACTCATTAGAAGATGTTTCATGCTAGATATCTTACCTCTAGCTCTTTGGGTTCTTTAAGAGATTTTTTTTAAGTTTTTACTATATGCATATAGGGAAAATCAATGACCCCCTGGGGCTGGGCCAATTTTGACCCCAGGGCTTTTATTTGAACAAACTAGGTAGACATCCATAAGAACATGTTTCATGCCAAATATCTAAGCTCTAGCTCTTTGGGTTTTTTAGAAGAAGATTTTTTTAAGTTTTTACTATATGCATATAGGGAAAATCAATGACCCCCTGGGGCGGGGCCAATTTTGACCCCAGGGCTTTTATTTGAACAATCTTGGTAGATACTTATTAGAAGATGTTTCATGCTTAATATCTTAGGTCTAGCTCTTTGGGTTCTTTAGAAGAAGATTTTTTAAAGTTTTTACTATATGCATATAGGGAAAATCAATGACCCCCTGGGGCGGGGCCAATTTTGACCCCAGGGCTTTTATTTGAACAATCTTGGTAGACACTCACTAGAAGATGTTTCATGCAAAATATCTAAGCTCTAGCTCTTTGGGTTTTCTAGAAGAAGATGTTTAAAGTTTTTTTCTTTTGGTTGCCATGGCAACCAGAGTTCTGCATGGAATGGAATTCTTTGAACAACTTTGTTAAGGCTTCACACAAGGAACATCCCTGTGAAGTTTCATTATGATCTGCCTTATGGTTTCAGAAGAGATGTTGTTTGAAAAGTGTGAACGGACAACGGACGACGTACGACGGACGACGGACGACAGACGACGGACGAAGAGTGATCCTAATAGCTCACCCTGAGCATATGCTCAGGTGAGCTAAAAATGCAGGTACAAAATGTGTTTAATTTTTCAGATTGTTCATTGTAGCACATTTTAAAAAGAATTGAACTGAAATTTTGGTTTGATCATTTCCTGGCGGCGCACTCTTTTAAAACCAATAATAGTGAGCTTACAATGGTATTGCTTTTACTTTCAGTGTCAAAATACACATGCTATCTAAACTTTACTAGCGACCTAGATAATTTCCGTAAGGAGGAAATTGCTCCAGCGTGTATTCTATAACTATAGAATGAGAATTATGCCATAGTTCTCCAATGTATTCGACACTGATTAAACTGTTATAAAGTTAATTTGTTAAAGCAATTAATGCGCACAAAAATAATACAATATCAATAAAAGATACACGACAGGTTATATAAAATTATACTTTCATGTTAAATTTATAACTTATAGATTATATATAGATTTATTGTTAAACACTTTAAATCTAGCACAGAATAAATTAAGTATTCTCTCCTCTGGTTTGACAAAGTTAGCGTCAACGAATTTGCGGTAAACGTGTCAATCATTATTCGGTAAACTGCAAGATTAGCAATTTTTATTCCCTACAGAATATACAGTAAGTCCTCGTGACTGAAATAATTTGATAAAAAATTACGTAAACGAATAAGCAAAGTATTTTATGTCTGGAAGAAAATATTCCTCGTGCCGTACATGTACTATGAACACTAAAAGATATAATTCAAAATTTAAACTTTGAATTATAGAATGCCAACGGAGAAAATAGGTTTTAAGAAAAACATAGTTGAAAGCAATTGAAGGCAAGTAAATGAATTGCAAATATTCTTATACGTTCATAATAATCTTATTATACTGAATATGAATACATATAGCACAAAATTAAATATATAATTGGTATTTCTGTTAGAAAACAAAAACATTATGTAGCTTTTTTTCAATATTGCATTAATACATTTTCGCAATATTAGTTTGTCACAATTTCGTAATCCGGTTGTGCAAGCGCACGTCAGTAAAAACGGAGAGAGCTTACAAATTGTGATAACCGAAACAAAATACAGATGCCATAAGTTTCCAACCAGCAAACAATCGAAAATTCAAAGATGTACTCATATTATGGTGGCTGATTTACGCCATGTATATTTTCGCTTTTTCGCCAGGAAAAAACAACTTTGGCATTTTTGCCCCGTACCTACTTTTTTTTATAAATTTAGAGAGATATATGTCAACAAATCAATATTGATTATATATAGAATACAGTCCAAGATTTATAATATACGGTTACTTTCGAAGTTAATTATTTATGATTTACTATAACATACCTTTAATAACATTAACAATGACTTTGATACCATGCTGTCATCAGTGGACGCTTATCATGCAATAAATTACTTGTCTAGCACTTAATTATTGATTGATTAGGTTCAAAGGTTTAGTATGTTAGAGTGAGTACATTAAAGTTAGAAATTATGCAACGGTTTATTTTATTGTGAACATTTTTTGTTTGGTATCGCTTTTATTTGTTTCAGGGCTAAAAAGAAACACACACTCATAAAGTCAAAAGATTAAGACAATAGTTAAAAGATGACAATTCCAGGCTCTGTTTGATTCAGTATGTTCATGAAAGATTTTGAAAGGTGCAGTTCACACCCTTAGCACCAACTTAAGCGGCATATGATCTTCTAGAATGATACCAAAGAACAATCCATGACAATAATTTAGTCATCTATATACTTTTACGTGCAATGTACCATATATGCAAATATTAACTAATCACTGATACCAAAAATTGAACAATTTCAACCAAATTAAAATCACGAATTGAACTTGAACAATAGCATTAAAATGATAATGTAAAAATATTCAATAAGAAATAATAAGAATAACTCGGGTCCACCTTTGCAACGGCAAGACAAA